TGTCCTGGGCCTCAGTTTCCTCATCTAAGATGTGGGTAAATACCTACCTCATAGGGTTATTGTAAGGATCAATATTGATAACGAGAGCAAACATGATAGGGCCCTTGCTCTGTGCTAGGCACTGTTCTAAGTGCTTTACAAATATTAGTGCATGTAAGGGATTCTTAATGGTGTCTGGTTATTAGTAAGTGGTCCATAAATGTTGACACGTTTTCTATTATTCTCTAATGGTTTAAAAGGTGATAGATATCTCAACCAAACTGCAAACCCTGACAGGAAGACAGCCTCACATGGGATTTCTAAATCCCTGCAACATCAGTAGACAAGTGCTAGGATTATACTGAGTGATGAACAAGTAAGAACTGAGCTAAACTAAACAGAAAGGCAAAAAACAAACCCACTGCCATCAAGTTGACTCTGACTCATAGCAACCCTATAGGACAGAGTAGTATTGCCCCATAGGGTTTCCAAACCAATAAATCTTTATAGAAGCAGACTGCCTCATATTTCTTCCACAGAGTGGCTCATGGGTTTGAACTGCTGACCGTCTGATTTACAGCCCAATGCTTTAACCACTGCACCACCAGAGCTCCCAAACAGAATGGAGAATTCCTAAATTACAACTCAAGTCCTTGTTACCAAAAGGTCACCAGAGCAGAGAGGTGAAGAGCTTGGGCTTTGCAGTCAGATGCACCTGGTTTGAGTCTGCTCTGCCATTCACTGCCTGGGCCACCTTGAATTTTCTTCCCTTTAAAGTGGAGACGTCCTATGTAGTACAAATGATTAATGCACTCAGCTGCTAACTGGAAGGTTGAAGGTTTGTGTCTATCCATGAGCACTTTAGAAAAAAGTCCTGGTGATTTATTTCTAAAAAATCAGCCTATGATTTCTATAGGGAAAACCCTATGGAACACACTTCTACATTGACTCAATGGCAGTTGGTTAAAGTGGAAATAATAACTCCCAGATCATCTCCTCTGCTTAAGTAGCTGTATGTTGATTGGTACCAGGGAAGCTCTTATCCTCAATGCCTCTTGTTTACCCACTTGCAAAGAATGCAAGTGAATGCTACATCAAAAGATGGGAGGAAAACGACAATCCTGGTACAAACTGGATAATGTTAGCTACAAGCAAACAGACATTAAATGTGGGGATGGTCCATCCCTCTACTGGGAAGCATAGGGTCACGCTGACTTGGTGTGTCTGTGTGAGGGTCTATATACAAACATTTAACAAGCACTCAGCTGAGTCTACCAGTTACCAATTGCTGTCAAGCCGACCTGACTCAAGATGATCCCACATGTGTCAGAGTGGAACCGTGCTCCACAGGGTTTCTTTCTTCCATTGATTTATTAGAATCAGACTCATTTCCGTGTCTTCCAGAGGCAGCAATGAATTTATAAGGTACTCCTAAATTGCTCCATAATTTCAAAGCAGAACTACTGAATTTCTTTGTAAGTTTCCTCTGCCATGTATAGCAATTGGGTCATCAGGTAATTACAAGAGCATAAAGCAGAACAGTGAAAATCCTGTTTACACAAACAGCTTTGGGCTCCTGCATCTGATTTCCAGGCCACCGGGGAAGCTACATTTTATTACTTTCAATCAATGCCTGTTGTTGTTGTTATGTGCCGTCGAGTTGGACACAACTCATAGCCACCCCTCCTTGGGTTGCCGAGGCAGTATCACTACGGAAGTAGATTGCCCCATCTTCCTTCCGAGGAGTGGCTGGTGGGTTTGAACAGCCAGACTTCTGGTCAGCAGTCAAGCGCCTTAGGCACTATGCTACCAGAGCCCAATCCCTTCCATTTCAATACCGAACATGAACTTCCTGCAAGGAAGAGCCCTATCACCCATTCTTTTCTCAGCCACCCTCCGAGGAGCCTAAGGAAGCCAGGCTGAGTTTGACAGGGACACGTCTGCCTTTATCACACAGGCTGCACCACTCTTCTCCTAGCCCACATCTAAACACATGATGAAGCTGCTCTCTCAGCCTGCTCTGCATAGAGTGACCCTGTGCCTCTTCTGAAGGTTACCAAGAGAAGAGAGAAAATCCCCTACCTCATACACCCTGAAGTCAGGAAATGAGCTGAAAACAAAGGTCAGACTGTGGCATAATGTGAAAGCTGAAAACAAAGGTCAGACTGTGGCATAATGTGAAGATATTTACCTAGCAAAATAAAAAATGCATTTCTGGGCTATGACACGCTGTGACTGGCAAAGAAAAAATGTGGGAGGCAGTTTTGATCTCCACGTAGCATCACTGGAAGAAAAGGTAGGGGGGAATGGTTTCTGATGGAAAATATGACCTAGGATGATATGGAACTCGGGGATCACTGGAAGAGCTGGATTGCTCACCCCAACGGAGGCAGAAGCTGCCCACAGAGCAAGGCCACGCTGCACCATAGCCAGGTGAAGCTTAAGACAGGGATGCACAGTTCTCAAGAGTGTTTTTCTGGCCCAGGAAGACCTGGCCAATATATGGAAGCCTGGGTAAGCTGTTACCTCCTTATCACATAAACTGGTGGCCCATCCGCTGACATGTGGGGTGGGAGTGTTAAGTGCTGGGAGGAGAAAGAAGATATTTTATCCCAATCAGTCACAAGATGCTCCTAGTGGAGCTGGTATTCAAGATCTGTAGGAATAAATGTGGCAGGAAATGAAAGATCCTCAAAGGCAGATCCTACACCAGTCAGATTCATATTCCTGAGTCAATTCATCCTGACTTAAGGGGTTACCAGGGAACCAGCAAGGTTTATGCAGAGAGGCAGAAGCACTAAAGAAAAAAGGAGGAGGAAGGGAGGGAGAGAAGGAGGGAAGAAGAGAATTATCATGGCCTTTTAATACGCCACCTTCACTGCCACCTCCCAAGCACCCTCCTCACTCTTCAGCTTCAATGCTTGCCCTCTCTCTTCTGCCTGCCTGAATCCTCTTCATTTTCCAAGGCTTTCATGGTCCTACAGTGATCACCCTGTGGTAATTAAGGTTACGTGTGAACTTGGCTGGGCCTGGTTTTGAGTGGCCCGGTTTCTGGTTAGCTAGAAACAAACAGACATTAAATGTGGGGATGATCCATCCCTCTACTGGGAAGCATAGGGTCAAGCTGACTTGTTGTGTCTGTGTGAGGGTCTATATACAAATACGTAACAAGCACTCAGCTGAGTCTACCAGTTACCAATTGCTGTCAAGCCGACCTGACTCATGATGACTCCATGTGTGTCAGAGTGGAATTGTGCTCCATAGGGTTTCTTTCTTCCATTGATATATTAGAATCAGAGTCATTTCTGTGTCTTCCAGAGGCAGCAATGAATTTTATAACTGTCAATAATATCGATGAAGTTATTCCCCAAGATGAGGCTGGTAATCAGCTCCATGGTGGAATCTACTGGAGCAGCTGAGTAGCTGCCTTAGGGGCATACTCTGCTTCCAACATATAAGATGAAGATTGAGAAAGATCTCTGCAGCTTTTTGGCATGCTTGGACCTTGCATGTAGGCCAAGTCTTCATTCAGCAGCCTGCTGTGTTTCCTGCAAATCTTGGGACTGTCACTGGACTTGAACTAGTGGCCTGCCATGTTGTTTGGTAATATTGGGACTGTGCCGTTTTACTTGTCAACCTTGGGTTTGTTAGCCTCACCAGCCAGCAGCAGCCTAAGTGTAGAGACACCTCCAGCTCCAGTGAGCCAGGAGCAAGAGGCAGAGCTGAAGCCCAAGTTTGAGGGGCCTTTACCAGCCCATAGAGCTGGCACTTTGAACTCAGACTTCTAGCCTCCCAAACAGTAAGAGAATAAATTCCTGTTTGTTAAAGCCACCCATTTGTGGTATTTTCTGTTAGAGCAGCACTAGAGGACCAAAACACACCCCTATGACTAAACACTTACCACCATTAAGTGTTAAAACTTACTACAGTCTCAGACATCTTCCCAGTGAGCCCCACCAAGTCTCACCTCCAGTCATCTGTTTCACATTCCTCAGTCAGCACTAACTAGACCCAACAGGCATAGCTTTTCTTTGGAGGAAGTCTATCAGTCTCTTCAAAGGCTGTCAGCATTGCTAACTGTGCTGCAGTTCACTTGTAGGATCCAGAGCTTCTATACTGTTTTTGACCCAAGAAAACAAGTACCATCTCCCCTACTCCAAGTCTTGCTTTGCTTAATTCATGGCACCTAGACTGTTCCCCACCATAACCTGTTTGTCGGTTTTTGTACTGTGGTGACTCGCATGTTCCTACGATGCTGGACGCTATGCCACCAATATTTTGAATACCAGTAGGGTCGTCCATGGTGGCTAGGTTTCAGCAGAATTTCCAGATTAAGATGGAGAGGGAAGAAAGGTCTGGCAATCTACTTCTGATAATCAGCCAATGGAAATCTTACGGGTCACAACAGAACATTGTCAGATACGGTGCTGTAAGATGGAAGGCAGTCAGAAGGCACTCAAAATACCCAGCAATCACAGTGGACTCAAGCATCATGAAGATGGCGCAGGACTGGACAATGTTCCATTCTATTGTACATAAAGTTTCCATGAATCAGAGATACCTCAATGGCAGCTAACAACAGCAACTACAGTTTGTTCCAGGTCAAGCTCATGCCTTTGTTGGACTACCCCTGGGACCCTGACCTCCAGTCTGGTCCTATCCTCCTGGACTCTGCACTCCTTAAAAAATTGAATCTACTGCTATCAAGTCAATTCCAACTCCTAGTGATACTTTTAGGACAGGGTGGAACTGCCCCAGAGGGTTTCCAAGGCTGTAAATCTTCACGGAATCAGACTGCCTCATCTTTCTCCCGTAGAGTGGCTAGTGGTTTTGAACCACTGACCCTTTGTTTAGCAGCCCAATGCTTTAACAACATTGCCACCAGAGCTCCTCAGCATTCTTTACCCCCGCCCCCAACTTATCCCCTTCTCAAACATAAACCCCACCCCCAATACCTCAATTGATTTTTAAGAAAAAGATAGTAACATGTACAGGAAAAGGCCACTAGAGGAAAAACTCACCGGTAAATGTCCAAGGAGAGGTGTAATACTATCAGAAACATAGATAATGCTGCCATCTGTTGTCACTGCGATAATGAAGCCATCTAATGCCTGTGGAAAATACAACATTTGAAAGCTCTTTAATAACTGTTTTACAGAGGAGCATGCCACCAAGGCAAAGGACCCCACTTTACCACCCTGATTTTGTTTTGTGATAGTTCCACGAATAACCACACAGCACTTTGCTGGCTTATACACAGTATGGTTCCTTACACAGAATTTGTCCAGCCCAGGCAGAGAGCCTGTAGAAGCACTAAAAGGCAGAGTGAAAAATTTTACCTACTGGTATCATAAAACAAAATGCAGCCATAGATCCTTGAAAGATGTCATCAATATCTCATGGTCCTGGCTCCCCATCCCTTGGGATCACTTTGAGTTCAGCGATAAACATTCACAGAAAGATTATCACGACTAATAAATGCATTAAAACCTTTGTCTGGCTGTTAGCCAAGGTAGATCTTTGCCTATAGCCACTGCATTAGGGGAAATACCTATGAAAGCCATTGCTCTTAAAGACTTTCACAGTATTCCACAGAAGTGAAAAAAAAAAAAGAAAAGGGGGTTGGACCTGTGAAACTCAACTGGATCCATAAGCATTTCAGAATGTCTAAAAAAGACCTTTCTTTCAAAGTATTTACCAAGCACATATACTATATGCTAGGCACACTGTTCTAGGTGCTCGTAACACAAACAGTGTAAGGTGTTAATGATCTAATTCTCATGATGCATTCATAAGACACAACTAAAAGTTGATTTCTAAAATTCAGGCCATGCCATTCAGCAGAGAATGGGGTCACACTGGCAAGTGGCTATACAGGGTGCACTGGTGAGATGGAAGAGATTAAGAAACACAGCCTGCCTCACTGGAACATAAATCTTTGAGGGAGTAACATGCTCAAGTGGACCGTCATTATAAGCTTATCACACGGTTTTACCGACTATATCTTTGAAATCCGTGAATTGTTTTGCTTTGGGGAAAAACCCTCTGAAATACGTGCTAAGAAAGCCCTGGAAACATTCTGTACGCTCTCAACTACATCTTTCTAGGGTGTTACTAAGAATCTGCATAGCCAAGAGTGCATACATTCTTTTAATGGAGAAGGGTGTGGTGAAGTGCACTGTGGTGGGAATCAGAAAACAGTCTATTAACTGCGGAGGAGAGACTTGTTAAAAAGCACAAAAATGTAGAGAATTCTTTTCACCAGGAAAATTACCACTAGGCTCATTTATTATTTTATACTGATATACTGTAAGATTTAAGATGGCAAAATATATTAAAGCATATTTCTTAAATGGACTTCATCTTTTTGGATTACATTAGTTGTTCTCAGATGGGGACAATTTTGCTCCCCAGGAACACCTGGCAACGTCTAGAGATATTTTTGGTTGTTACAACTGGCAGTGGGTGCTCCTGGCATTTAGTGGGTCGAGGCTAGAGATGCAGCTAAATACCCTATAATACACAGGACAGTTCTCTATAAGGAAGGATTATCTAGCCCAAAATGTTCACAGCACTGAGCCTGAGAAAGCCTGGATTCCATTTATGGGATATGGTGAGCAAAGAGGCGCATCCTAGTATCTCTTATTTCTTTTTCCCACAAGTATTTTTATAAATTTTTTTTAAGTCAGATTTGCAGCCCTCCTGGAGGTGAATCCTTTTTTAGGGGTGGGAGCACTGTTAATGACGTCAGCCGAACCTTTCTGGAAAAAGCAGATTGGAAGGCTGGGAAAACAAGAGTAATACAAATTATCTTCTCGCACACACAGTGAGTCTGGGTCCCTCTTGAATGCTTAAAGCAAGTGGGTGTTAAAAAGCTGAAGGTATTTATAGATGGAAGATAACTTTTCATCAGCTCATTGGCATTTTCCATCAAATGTACAAGAACTGCACTGAGTCACTGCTTGAAGAACACTTGCCTGGGCTTGGGAAGTCCCAGCAGCATCCTTGAAGAGTGAATCAACAGAACATGATTGCAAAGTGATGCGCTCCTGTCCATGTAAAGGTGACTTTGCCCAGAGCTTCAGGGATGCGACCAAAGAAGCTATAAAAGTGCAGAATTTTACAGGAAGCCACGCCCTTCCTGTCAAATTCCTTGTATTCTCTGGGACAATCTTTGGGCTAAAAGAAGAGATCACTGGAGCTTTTCTGAATACACTTCAGAACTACCACAAGCTCCCTAATTCTTGGACAAGAAGAGCTTTCTCTCCTTTGAATCTATTTGCTCAGATGCCTGTTGCTACAATTTTCACCAGCTTCCAGCGACAAGCTGGTATTTTCATAGCATGGCTGGTCTGCAACAAAGTCATTTTTGTTCTTTCAAGCTTCACAATTGTATGTGTTTTCCTAGAGTCTGGTTTTGTGCCTTTTGGGAGAAGAGGGAAGAAGGAGGGATTCGCACCCAAAAGGCACCAGCAGTTCCCTGGGGCATGATAAGCTCTCTCCTGGTTCTGTCCTCATTTAAAAGGAGAACATTCTGGTCTACTAAGGCATGATACCTGGATTCCTCATGTTCTTGGAAATGGCTCTGAAGAAAGTAGTGGGCTGTGTAGCTGGCATGGAGCACATACTGTGAAGAAGCTCTATAATGGGAAATAACACCATGGCCCCTCAGAGGGGCAGCACCCAGGGCTCACACCATGGAGGAGGAGATACTGGGAAGCACTAGCTACTCATCGCTGCATCTGTGCCTACTGAATAAAGGACAGATTGGGATAGAAGTCTAATACAGTCAGAGAGAAATCAAAAGCACCAGTTAGTGGATTTCTCAGGCAACTCAAAGCTTCAGTTCGCCTAGAAGACACATCTAGCTATGCAGATTTAATTCCATATCGAATTCATTTATCTAGTGTGACTCCCTTTAGATCTGCTTCGAGGAGTCTATACAGGGAGCAGGGGAAAGTGCGTAAAGAATACATATCTATTATTCCTAGTCATACCAATCTAAAATAATCTTTTTCTAGAAATTCCAGTCTTCTGAATCTCAGTCCTGACTTTAAGCCTTAATATTTACCCATTTGTAAATGGGTAAATGAAAACCTTGTTTTTGAGCAATATAAATCTTTTATTACTATATATGATTTTTCTAAGTTCTGTAAGTAACTGGTACTTTTGCTACCTTGAGAGTCACTGGAAAAATTTTTTTATTTTTAATTATAGATTCTTTAAAAAGAAAAAAGCTGGATGCTAAAGGGTTATGAATTTTACTTACTTTCCTATAAGAATTAAAAGCTAAAATGAGTTATGTAAAGTAGCATTATGATGCATTAATTCAACATTGTATTCCACAAACTGCTCTAAATTTAACACACTTAAAATGCATTGCTTCTGGAGAAAGTTCTGTATTTTCTTTAAATATAGTTCACATGTAGATTTAAGTATCTTTCATTTTATGCAAATGTTCATTAATGCTTTTATATTTCATAATATTTGGACATCTTCACTCTGGCATTTTCTTACTCAAGTACTTTCTGTTTAATGCATATTTAATCCATGTAAATTGAAGTTTACATTAATCTTATATAGGCACCGAAGACTAGACGTAGAAAGATACAGTAAAATCCAGAAAAGCTGGAATCTGTGTGAGACAGAAACCTGTCAAGAAAGGAAAACTCAAATATTTCCCACTAATAGAGAGTGATAGAAAAGTGGTTTAAGACTGCACCCTGTCAAAGATGGCATACTTGTGAGACCTGGAAAAACAAGGCAGTTCCATCAAGTTCTGGCTCTGACAGGTTTCAATGGGCTGACTCGATGGCAAATAACAACAACAAATCTCCAAAAACCCTGCCAGTAACTTACTGACACAAAGCCAGTGCCTAACTTCCTCTTTCTGAACCATTTTTCCCAGGTTCTCCCTTTCTCGGTCAAGTGCCCACACAGGCACATCTGGAGGCTCCTTCCACATCCAGCCCCACTGTCATTCCTGTACTCCAAGACAAAGTGCTCTACTGGCCCTATTCCTGGTTTAGAAGTCATGCTCTGACCCGGTTGGACGTTTCTGTCAAGAGTAATCCTCATCTGTGACTGAACAGTTTCACCCATGTCTAAATATACGATGTTGAGGAAACCCACTGTCTCAGGTCAACAAGGCTTTCACAAATACAGCCCTAGGATGAGCACCAGCACTGCACCTTCCAAAGGAAGAAACATGAACCTGTTACTCAGCACAGGAAGAGCATATGTTGGGTGGAGAGGCACAGGATGCACTTATGGCTGTCACACACAAGTTATGCTGATGTCATATGAGCTCACGTTAAAGGCATAACTTTAAAAAAAGATTTTTATCTTTAAAATGTGTTTATACCAAGGGAAAATAATATAATCATTGCATTCTAAACAGGAGAGCCAAATGATAGTGCAGGGTGATGTAATCTTTCTTCCCTCCTTCCTCTTGTTCCAACTACCTCCCACTACACACACCCTCTCCTGGCACCCCGATTGGGTGTCCTCTGGTTGGGAGAGCATGAGGGGACTCTCCTCACCGTGACCGCAGTGACAGCACACTACCATACGCAGCTGAGGATTCCTGCTTACACGACCCAACTCGGTAGCCAAAACATAAGGAACAGCATGCAGAGCCTCCATTGAGTATCTGTTTCAAGACCTCTTTCCTTGGTCAAAAATAGTTGTTTACTTTGGGCACAGGGTCATATTTGGAACAAGTAGCCACATTTTAATTTGCAACTGATTATGCTAATTTGAAAGTGCATTTTCACCTCCAACATCAGCTGGGTGAATTCTTCATTACTGAGGAACGAAGGCTTCCAGTCTTGTTGAATGTCACAGATTTCCGTTTGCGCTGAGACTTCTGAAAAACAAAAACAAAAACAAAAATTTTTATGTTCAATTGTACCCAGAAATCAGAATTAACAAAGGAAGCACACGTTATTTCTATGTAATTCCATCTAACCTTCAGTGTAGTCTAATTAAAGAAGCCATATAAGGAAATGTATTAAGCCTGATTTCTCAGGACTGGTAAGTTTAGATGTAATATGCTTAAAAATACTTCTTGATGTTCTCACATGCCTTTAATGAGGCTTTAGAAGGAGAGAACTCCACCCTCTGCATGGGTATAGTACTTGCCACTTGTAGGTGGCACAACTTTGAGTTTCTATGTGACAAAACACCATCACCAGCGATTCAAGTTAGGCATTTGCCACTTACCTAAGCAACAAAAACAAAGACTGGGATGGGCTGACATCTTCTTAAGCTGCTTCTTCATGATCAAGATGAAGCCAAACACTTCAGAGATTTAAGATTTTCTACCTGGTGATGGTGGTCAAAACTCAGAAACACCTTAGGCTTGTAGTGAATGTCTATGCAAAATGTGATGTATTTTTTTTTTCAGTATTTCCAGGTACTGAATTATAGTGTGTTATACAAAGACTAAGCTACTCAGTGGGAGCTCTGGTAGCATAGTGCCTAAGGCACTTGACTGCTAACCAGAAGCCTGGCAGTTCAAACCCACCAGCCACTCCTCGGAAGGAAGGTTGGGCAATCTACTTCCGTAGTGATATCGCCTTGGAAACCCAAGGAGGGGTAGCTATGAGTGGGGTCCGACTTGATGGCACATAACAACAACAACAACAATAACAACAAACTACTTATTTGCTTTTTGGAGTCCCTGGGTGGTATGAATAGTTAACACACCGGGGTGCTAACCAAAAGGTTGGAGGCTCAAGTCTACTCAGAGGCACCTTGAAGGACTAGGCTGGTGATCAATTTCTGAACAATAAGCCACTGAAAACCAAATGATGCACATATACTCTGACACACACGGGGTTGCCATGAACAGGAAGTGACTTGATGGCCACCTTTTCTTTTAGCTGCTTATTTTTTTGGGTTAATCTATTATGTACCTCGTACTAAAGACATTATCCATGTTTATAAACTCAATAATCTATGGCCTACACAGGACTCCTTAACTACACTAGTTCTTTTATATTCTTCAAAGAATGTTTTGTTCTATTATTGAATTATCTTTGACAAGATTATTATAGGTAGCTCAAAGGTGCTTTTGAAATATTTGTTTTTCCTTCATTTTATCCTCCATATTAAACCACTATTTTATTCCACTTTATACAGTAATCGATCTCTTTAGGGATCATACTCTTGGTGTTAGGAAAACCTAAATACGTATGACTTACACCTCAGAGAATAACACAAACCTGTTTAACAACTTCCTTGAGAATGCAAATTGTTCAGGCAGATAATCTATAAACTTTAAACTAGAGGAAACTTATGACCCTGAACTTCTGGTAATCTCTCTTACATGAAGTCTGTTGTTGTAATGTGCCGTGGAGTGGGACCTGACTCACAGTGACCCCTCCTTGGGTTTCCGAGGTGGTATCACTACGGAAGTAGATTGCCCAACCTTCCTTCCGAGGAGTGGCTGGTGGGTTTGAACCACTGGGTTTGAACCACCAGCCTTCTGGTTAGCAATCAAGTGCCTTAAGCACTACACCACCAGAGCTCCCACATGTAGTCTGGAGAAGGCATTCTACCATTTGGCAGTTACTCACGAAGACACAAAATGAGAAAGGCTTATGTTGCACATGCGACTCTATAAACCTTCACTTGTTCAATCACCCACCATTCCCTCTAATGCTCGGCTCTAGGGGGAAGGTATCTTTCTTTGAGATTTCAGAGAGAACAAGTTGCTGCTGTTACTATATGAAATTGGATTTTTGTCTTTTGTGATTTTAAAGGAGCAAAAAAGAGCTGTTAATAGCTTTCCAGTAACACAGGAAGAAAATCAGGAAAGGAAACATGCCTACCATTCAGTCAGTGAACAGCAAATGGCACTGAACAAGGACCTGCTAACAAGGGCCAGTGTGGCAGGGGGCCTCACAGTGCTGGGTGCCATCATGCTGCCAAACGATGCATGTGGAGAAATGCATCATGGGAAGCAAAGGCAGCCACAGCTCCTTCTGGTGTGTCAGCCAAGGCAAGGAAAGAGTGTGAAACTCCCAGTGCCTTAATTAAATGGCTGCTACAGTTTGAACAGTTAGAAAAGATAGTCTGTTCTATAATCCATCATTTAACCCTATAAATGTCCATCTCCTTCTTCCCAACACATACACTCCTCTGTAAAATAGTTTTGGACACTAGGATCAAACTGTAGCTTAATCGTTGGTTCAACAGAGGAGTCCTTCCAGGAGCTGGAAATAAATTTCATTTAGAAAGAAATTGAGTCACCTTAATAGCAAAGGGCAATGAATGACCTACTTCTTTTACAGAAGTATCTTTTAGATTTTTTTTGTATTACCTGATACTTTCTAAAGACCAGCATAGTAATACTGAAAGAAACCATTTCATTTACTTTGTATTTCAACAACTTGATTATATTCCTTGGAAGTTAAGGTCCAATGAATAGCATTTAAAAAAAGCAATACTTATAAAAATTAGATGTCTCAAAGCAAGTAAAAAAACAGGTACACTGGAAAATAGTAAATGCAGTTATAATCATGTCTTTATGAGCATTTAATGTGACCAATATCATAAGTAATGGGTGGCAAGGAAGGATTAGCAAAGAGGTGGGGTCAAGTAGTTTCTAAATAGTAAGGGAAAAAAAAACATGGGAGTCATTTTCACAAAAATTCTATTATAGTATAAGTTGTAATTGTGTCCCAGAGTGCCTCACCTCCCAATTGCTCCTGGTATGCCTGAACAAGTAGCAGTACATTTTTGGGACACATATATTGTTGTTATGAGCCGTCAAGTCGGACCCGACTCACAGCGACCCCTCCTTGGATTTCCAAGGCGATATCACTACAGAAGTAGATTGCCCAACCTTCTTTCCAAGGAGTGGCTGGTGGGTTTGAACCACCAGTCTTCTGGTTAGCAATCAAGTGCCTTAGGCACTATGCTACCAGAGCTCCACATATAGTCAAAGAAAAGTCAGGAAAATGAGGCAGAAATGCTATCGTCTGGCTAAGTAAATTATTTCTTTGTCCAACAGGAACATTTCTCCTCATTCTGCAGCCTCTGATCCCCCTAATCCACTAAGGCAGACATATCAAGGCTTCAAACAGGTTCCTCTTAGTTCAGTCATGGCCAACAAAGTGAAATGTGAACGGATCTTAATTTGTAAATCGTGGGTGTGCCAGAACCATAACCTGAATGGGAAAAAGTATGAGTTGACCCCTGCTAGAAACTTAATCTCCCTCTTAGAAAACAAGGGCAGAGTGTGCATTGCATAGCAACCAAATTTCTTGCCTGGCAGAGTTGGAAGCAACCATGCCCTGCTCATAGATGGTGGCCAACCTCGCTGCTTTTAATACGTGTCACTTTCCACAGTCCTGGTAATAATCCAATCTCCTGCATCAGGCTCCTGAAAGTGGTCACTATGCCTCTTCTGAGTATCCTATTCCAGGGCTGTGACTCATGATTTCACAAACTCAGGTCTGTTCTAATTTCATTGTCTTGGCCATGACTGAACTGGTTCAAACCCCTGAGATATACTGAAGGGGCATGATTGCAATTTGGTGTTAGGAGAAAATTACATTAAACCAGCTTGAGTTTCATGCAGGATGAGGACAGCATGAATTTAACTCTATGCATTTCATTTCACTTTAGTAGTAAGAAGCAGCAGCTCTGGTGGCACAGTAATTAAAGTTGCTTGGCTGCTAACCTAAAGACCATGCAGGCCAACCTGGCCCTGTAGAACTAATATTTAAAGGGATAAGAATGTGTAATATGCTACAGTGTTTATATAATTTAGGGGTTTCTCTTATAGTAAGAGACACAAAATTTCTCTGGCAAGAAACATGGTCAAATCCTTATTTTGATTTCTATTACTTCAAAGAGAGTAAATGTGAATCACTTCCTACTTATCTCAGCTTTTTAGCTAAGATCAAGTACAAAGAGAATAAGTATGCATTCCAGGATCAAAATTTATCTCCCAAGCTAATAAAGATGCTTGAAATCTTATTGAGGAAAGAGATAAATAATGATAATAATTGCCTGTATCTAATCATCTTTTCTTAGTTATCATGTGTTCTTCCTTTAACATGAAGGCAGAAAGCATGTCTAAATACACAATTCTCAACTCTGGAGGCATACTAGAATCTCCTCCGAAGCTTTTACATTATAGGTGCCTGTGGCGTAGTGCCTAAGGCATTTGACTACTAACCAGAAGGCTGGCGGTTCAAATCACCAGCCACTCCTCAGAAGGAAGATTGGGCAATCTACTTCTGTAGTGATATTGCCTTGGAAATCCAAGGAGGGCTCGCTACGGGTCAGATCTGACTCTATGGCAGTGTGAAACAGAGAGTGCCTTACACAGTGGTATGCTGTGAAAAGCTGTCCACCACCACATCAAAAAACACTGATTTGGATTATCTGCCCATTCTTGTGTTGTAAATATTCCCACCATGGCCAACTGTAAGCTACCAACAATTTGATGCCAACTGGCTTGCAAAACTCATGAAAATTTAACAATCATCACTTGCAAGTTATTAGTACAAGCTGGCTCCAGCACACCACTGGGGTACCACCCCTAGAAATTCTGATGTATTGGTCTGTGGGGTGTGATCCAGTTACATGTATTTTTTAAAAGCTCCTTATGCAATTCTAATGGGCAGCCAAGGCTGAGAACCAATAGTCTAAAAACTGGTACACTAATGAGCAACTATAGTGTAGTTATGATATCAGTAACTATGACAGCCTCATAAATCATCTCTTGGGAAGAAGTGACATGGTGTAGCGGTTGAACACTTGGGATCTGGAGACAAACTGTCTAGGTTTAGACTTCATACCTTCTTGGCTGTCTAACTTGGGTGAGTGGCCTAACCTCTCTGTGCCTCA